AAGCCATAACTAAAACATTAGAATCACATCATTAATCATAAGCTACTAACATTTCTTAATAACATCTTACACATGAATTTCTTTTATTTGAATCTACAACACTTGGAAATTAAGGATCCCAAACCTAGCCAGTTATGAATGAACAAAACTTCAGCACAATAATATAGCTAGGGTAATGAGGGGAGAGACTGCAATCAGGTTAGCACAATATAAAATGAGTAAAACAAAGTAGGGTTAAATCTGAAAAAAGAACGCAACAAAACAAAGAACGTGTCGGCAGAAAACCTTCGTCAGCGAAGAAACCAACAGAAAAACGGTATAAAAATAAAAAATAAAACTTAGCTTAGAAGTAGTATCCGTGGGCAGCAAAAGATGTGTGACAGAAAGTAAGTGAGTGAGAGATTAAATAGGGAAGAGCAAATAGGATGACGTACATAGGGGAGACTGGACGCCGACTCTCTGACAGGTGTACCGAACACCTCCGTAACATTACACAAGATAAACAGTGTCCCGTCTCCAAACACTTCAATAGTAGCGACCACCAGGGCAACACGGACTTTTCAATAAGTGCGATCGTGGCTAGCACGAACACACCCAGCCGGGTGAATTTGGAACACAGGCTTGTCCTGACTTATGGCACATTGACGCCACCTGGGATGAATGTCATGTCTCTTTTCACAGCTTGAACCTAGCTCCACCCCTCCACGTCCCGACCTATTGCAGTGGACTCACTTCTCCTCTTTTCTTTCGCTCTTCTCTATTTAATATCTCTCTCACTTACTTTCTGTCACACATCTTTTGCTGCCCACGGATACTACTTCTAAGCTAAGTGCTATATATATTTTTATACCGTTTTATTCTGTTGTTTTGTTCGCTTTCTTCCGACACGTTCGTTGTTTTGTTGCGTTCCTTTTTTCAGGTTTAACCCTACTTTGTTTAACTCATTTAATAATATAGCTAGCCAGGCTCTGCTGCACAGATTACAGGTAAAAAAGGGCTAGAACTGATGGGGCCTGTCTTATATAGTATATGGTTGCGTCGTGCCCTGCATTATAGTATAGATAGCGTGGGACGCTTGACCAGATGAGCACATTGTTTCAGTTGGGTCATGGCCAAGGTTACCTGGCTAATTTCCATTCATTGTTAGGCTCAGCCTAATTGTGCAATCTCACGTGGAGTAGGGATGGAGAGAGTGTGAACCAGGAGGTCTCGAAAAAGTGAGTGATTTTGAAATACCGGTAATCCAAATTTTTCTGGGGAAGTGATCCCCAGACCCCACTCGCCCCCTTTCTTCCACTCAAAGAGCCATCGGTGCCTTCAATTTTTGCCCTAATTCCCGATAAAATTATCGCCTATTTTGGTGCCGATAGATGCACTGCCTATTGGAAAGTATTGGCGTAGCTATTATTAATGCCGCCATCGGCAGGCCCAAGAGTTTTGTTACCCTCTCTTTCACGATAAAAACTCAGGAGCTGTCCGAGAATGACACTCCTCCATATAATGAAATAAAATGACACCTGGCTGGACAACCCCATGCGCACCCCTTTCTACGTCACTGGCAGAGGCGTAGCTAGAGTGTTTGGCGCCAGGGAACAAGATTCATTTTTGTTACCCTCCCCGTTTCCTTTCTGAAAACATCATCTTCCTCAACTAAACTCTATCAAACCCCATTTGGTGCCCCCGCTAGTCCGGCGCTCGGGGACATTTGTCTCTCTGCCTTCTCTAGCTATGCCTCTGGCTATTGGCACTGCCCCCCCCCCCTTCCCGCAACCTCCCAACCGAAAATCCAAAAATGTCTCCCGGAGGAAAATGTCTGAAAGAAACACTGCCTGAGTCAAATGCTGTGAGGGGTTCGCATATCACATAAATTATTGGGCAATCCTCCGAAGTCTGGTCCCAAATTATTTCGTATGAAAAAAATTACAATGTACAGTGTGTGTTGTTAGAAAACAACAGAAATGTCAGTCCTAGCTTTTGCAAATAACTGTCACTTTACAAACCAGTCAGTAAATACTAAATTGTTGTAATTGGTGCATAGCATTTGCAAATAGCCGAAAATGCTCTGCTTGTGATCGTTGCGCCACTGAAAGGCCCCCCAAGTAGCTGGCAAACAGACTGCGACTAGTACCACTCTGATAGCGGAGTTTACGTTTCGCTTGCATTCAAAGTCCTTTAATAGTTTATATGTGAATGTCCTGGTCTACTGGATCAACAAATTCACGCGCGTACACAATGACAGCGTGACTATAAATCCCGTTGTTGAGCTGACCGACATTTTGATCTCCTTGTCTAGCGCCCGTGACGATAGCTGGCCCTGGTAACACATGATTAGTGATGATGCGCTCGAGTGTTTGTGCATATCGACGGCCGACAACCTCCATCCAACATTGTCCACTGGTGCAAACATGAATTTCAAAGAAAATGATACCTAAGACTTTTAATTAAGGAGTAATCATAGGAAATAATTTGGGACCGGACTTCGGAGGATTGCCAATTATTGATATGTCATGGCATGCTTTAACAACGACATTGAAACTAAGAAAAGTTTATATAGACATATATATATATATATATATATATGTTTATTTTTGAAAATGAAATTTTTCATAAATCCAATCCGGCTAATTCCAAGCATCCGTTATGGTCCGGTATCCCGATATTTTCGAGAGTCGGAATCCCGGTTTGCGACCCCTACTTTCATGGCCGGGTATAATCGGCCGCTACCAAAATTGTCATAAAAATTTGAATCTTTAAATGGGTTAAGGGGAAATCACTCTATATAAATGAGTTTACTTCCTATATACTTCTCTCTTTGTCTAAATGACTTAATGGCTTTTATCAGGACTTTTTTTGTGATTAATCCGGTTTTGAAATGCACTAAACAGTTTTGACCGCCATAATGTCTGATGCTGGAGAGGGTCCGCCCTTAGATTGCAAAAGCAACACAGAATGTATTAATTGGAGTTATTTCAAATGGATTAAAATGAAAGCAATGATGTCAGAGATATACCACATCCTAGTGATAAGTCAGATATTGATAGTTTTAGCCCTAAGCCTAAGCTTAGTCGTATTGTTACAGACAAATACATTTGGGAACAGAAAAGACAAATATTGGATCCCAAAGACTTACCCTAAAGACAATAAAGAGATTCAAAGAAATTATGATTGTGTATGTTCTGGAGTATTAATTAATTTAAAAAAAATGGATTTAATAACTTCATTTCAAATGGAAACTTTGAACTTGAAAATTGAACTCATTTTGAGTTTGAGCCTTGCCCGTGCCCTTGTATGTTGTATGTCAAAGTCAAAGTGATCTTCTAGAGAATGGAGATCCCTCCCCCCACTTTCAAAAATTGGAAATAAGAAAACAAAAACTTGAATAAGTATTAAGTGAACACAACATAAAAATCAAAATCTTTTGAATATGGCACTATAGTGTCTATAGACAGAAGTTGTCCTAGGGGCCAACCTCCGTGATCAATATACAGATGAACACATAGCTGGCCTTACCACTAACACAAAATCAGCCCAGAAATTTAAAGGTAGTGGATGAAAAATGTCACCAATATTAAAACTTTTAATATAAATATAAGTATTTATAAGTACCTATAACTTCAAATTTTCTGAAAGAATTTTGCTTCTGGTTCTAGTTCCCGAAAAAATCATTTTATTATGATAGTTTGATTTTGAACAATTTAATTTTATGGAGTATTAAACTATTAGGTTGGGTTGAATTCAGAGGTTGAGTTGTAAAATTTTACTCACTCTGTTAAGGTTAAGATCAAAATTAACATACATAACATACAACAAATTCTTTTCTTACCATAAGATGCCTTTCCAATGTACTTTCAGAAAATATATACTATATACCTGTAAGGGTCTCTGAATTTAGTTAGTATGGGCATGGGATTTTGTCATTTTTAACAAGCATATGAAAGTGCTAAAAGTGGCTCAGCACCACTTCACTACAAAAATATCATGTGAAAGTTATAGGGCTAAATAACATTTATGTTCTTTTCTTTTTTATTGCTCCACGCTATCATTAGTGTTAGTGTATTTTATGTGTGTCCCAAAACAACTTGTATTCTTCCAATGTGGCTCAGGGAATCTAAAAGGTTGGACACCCCTAAGTTGTCCTCTATTAATTTTACAAGTCCATCTCTTTTACCTATCATGACTGGGGCACCATCAGTATCAGTAGCTATACCAAATATGCTCACAACGGCAAAAGGAAATCACATATATTTTCACTGCTTTCTATAAATCTCTTGATTTAGTTGTGTCTTTTAATTACTGACACTAAAGAAAACATTTCTTCAGTGATATTTTATTCGTCCCCAACATGTCCACTCGCAATCTCATAAAATTTCTAAGATTAGGATATTATGTTGGTCCACATTCATAACTGCCCTGGTCTACATGCAGCCTGTGGTGGCCAGGAGGTTGGACACCACTGATCTAACCAAATTTTTTAAAAGCTCCTTGTAAAGTTATTTTTTGGGTTAATAATGTCTCCTGTAAAATTTAGAAAACTGCTGCACGTACAATTTTATAGAGTTACAGAGATGATAATAGCATTCACTTCAGTCTGATAGAGTGATAGAGGGTAGTCAAAATTTATAAAATATTGATGAAGAAGGTGAAGCTTTGATAAAAGCATAGAAAACATACTTGAAAAGAGTAAAATTTAATCTTCAAATGGACCCCAATAATTAGATAATTGACAGGTTTAAGTGTTGAGCTTTTTTTTTGTTGAGGCATATGATGTTCTTCTCACAGAATGTTTTCAGCTTTCCTTTAAATTTCATTAGTAAAAATATAACCTAACAAGTAAAGGTTGAGCTATTGGGATATTTAACAGAAGATTGACTTTAACATTGGGACAAATTTACATAATTAGCATATGGGAGAGAAGGGGGAACAACATTGAGTTTAGCAGATCAAAAATTTAAATTATTTTATTTATGACTATGTCATTAGTAATATTTTTACTTTCACAGATGAAGCGCAGTGGCACTACTTCCAGAAAAGTGATGTGTCCCAGAATTCTAAAAACCCTAGGACTGTTATCTTTTATGGATACCTCTACTGCTCTCAACGACAGACCCATTATTGGTAAAAAAATAAAAACACCAAAATTAGTGGTTAAACAAAAAAGAGTGGTTACCTGGTACGCTATATAAACTGTCAAAAAAAGATAATATTTACAACTATATAACCATTTTTTTCCCCAAGGAACAATGTGTAAGCCTTTAAATTTCTTTTATACAATTATACATTTTTTTAATTTTAAATCACCATTGCTTCATTGATTTTTGTTTTGCATGTCACCTTCTGCAAAAACTAAATACACTAATGTGATCCAATATGGGGTCATCCATAAGTGATAAACTTGCCGATTTTTGATGTCATGCATAAGTGATAAACCTGCCGATTTTTGACCCCCCCATCCTGACAAAGAGCTAGCCCCCCCCCCTCCCCCAAATATAACGGCACAAATTTCTGCATTCCCTCCCCCCTCCCCCTATAAAAATTCCCTGTGTCCACTACTGTCCTTTACAAACCCTTAAGAATTTCACCTCCCATGGATATCAAATTACTGCACCTGTGTCTGAAACATTTCACTAGAACAGTGGTTCTTAACCAGGGGTAATAGTACCTCCCCAGGCATAAGGTGCAGAAAACCAGAAAATTGTATTTGCTGCCTTTGCTATTTGTTGATACTTTTTTTTTTTCTTTTTAAAATCAGTTTTATGCATTTTGATTAGCAGTAGTGAATGTTTTTCTGGTGAATTTTTTTTGCACATTACTTGTATTGGTAATTTTTTACTTGTTTATAAAAATTTAATTAAAGAAATCAAACTACGTTAACTAAATTATTTAATTATTTTCATATTTTACTTCTACCGCCTTTTTCCATTTACTAATGGTATCCCTCTGCTGAAAGGATCCCGGCCCTGTTTGAATCCTGATCCCAGTGTAATTCCATTTCATGGAGGGATCCCGATATGATCCCAACACCGGTGGATCCCGTTTCCTGGTGGGATCCGGTTTCCAGATGGGTTCCCGATCCCTTTGGGATACTGATCCTGTTAGCACCCCAATACCATTCTCTGTGAGATCCCGTTTGCCGATGGGATCTTGTTTCCGAATTTTATCCCATTACCCGATGGGGTCGCGTTACTGGTGGGTTCCACTTTACTGTTTGATCTCATCCCTTTTTAGGATCCTGTTCCTCTGTGGGATCATGTTCCTAGTGGGATTTGATTCCTGGTAGGGTTATGAAGGGTATGATTGGCAAAAATCCCCATAAAAGTATTGGAATGAATAGAACTAAACTAACTGTTCAAAAAGCTGTTAGATCCAATTATATATTCAGTAGAGCAAAAATAGAACTTCTGGAACATTCTATTTCTATTATAATTTAATATCCTGCTCGAAACACGTAAAAAATTATTTTTCGAAGTAATTATTTTTCGAATAAGAACTTAATGCACCCTTATAAATATAGTACATTTAATTTGAAAGAGGGGCCCTGGTGGGGACCCATTCCATAAGTGTACTGCTTTAACTATGCCTGAGATAGGAGACCATATAAAAATCAGTCGGATAAATAATAAAGTTAAAATATGAAAGTTATCCCATTAAAATTGGCTTTAAAATGCCAAGATCCATCAATCCATGTAAAAGCCTTTGTGGAACAAACACATGAACAAAGTTTCACTTTTTTATTATTACAATATAATTAATACGATTGGGGGGGGTTGATTAAAACAGAGTGGGCTGCAGCGCTGTCAAAAGGCTAAGAATCCCTGCTCTAGAGCATTTACTAAGATCAACCCCCCCCCCCCCCCCCCCTCAACCTTTTTTTTTTTTTTTTTTGTTCGTTCCATCCCATTTCACATGGTAGTCCTAGGTCTATGACTCCCGTTATCCACATTTTGACATGAATTCTCTCGGATTGTCAATGTCACTACACCCATTTTCTCCTCCTCAGTGTTGTCCTTTAACTTGATCAGAGGCCCTTTTTTGGCCCGCACATACCTGTACTAATTTTCTGTGATCGTAGTTGAAAAATAAAATAATTTTAATTGTTTTATAAATGAATAATGTTTAAAATTTCTGTAGTTTACATGGTTATTAAGTGCATTTCTTAGCTATAATATTTCGCTTTTCATGTGACTTCACATTACTTAAGGACCCCCCCCATCACCTCGTCACACATCGTCACAAAAAATGTCCCCCCACCCTCCCCCTGTTGCATGATTTCATTTATGGATGGCCCCATACTGGTAAATGGAGTATAGATAATGTACATTTTAAAGATATTTATCCCAATTTTAAGCATCGTAAATTTCCATTGAAGGTATTCTTACCGTACCATCAAAAACATTCGAGTATGGACAAGAATTCATTCAGACATCTTATGTTTCATTTCTGGAAATGGCTGGTGCTCGAGTGGTTCCAGTAAGGTAAGATCTTATTAATTTTGATTTAAATAAATTGTACATTTTCTTTTTACATCACATTGTTCTGTTAATCTGTCTCTTATTAATGTGATTATGAAGTCACTGGTTAATGATAAACTTTGCAGAGGCTTTGTTCCCATCTTTTAACACAGTCAAAAGTTAAACAAAAACATTTACTATTTAATGAACCTTTCCACTATTCTCACCATTTGGACTAATAGAACTTAAAATAATTTAAACTACGCAAAATTCCATAATTATCCGCTCCTCTAGAACTATTCAGTTTCATTTCTTTTAATGCTCATATAATACTTGTTAAATAATAATTTGAGCAAGAAATTAAAGGGGATGAAATAATAATTCATTTTAAATTGCATTAACGAATGCAAAATTATTAATTTTCAAAATAAATATTAGTTTATTTGTTTTCAAGACTTTACTGTCTGTTCCACTGTTTGTTATTATTAACATAACTCTTGTTAGATACAAGATTTTATTTATATAACTCTAGATCCGAAGATTTTTCTGTTTTTTTAAAAGACTTTCTTTCTACTCACATTTCCATGTTGTGCAGTGCAATTTTTTGTTTACACACATGACATTTTAAGATGGAGTCTTTCTCATGCAGTATTCACCTGGTCAATGGCTGGAAAGAATACTGGGTTGACACTGTCGCTCAAATTACCGCCTTACTTTGCGTAATGCATATTAAATTATTTTCTACTTTTTAGTGGATAAAATTCTTGTCTTTTTATTTTTTTTATTTAAAACCTTGTTCATTATTTAGATAAAAGAATAGACATTAATAGTTTTATTTCATTTAAAAATATTTATAAACATAAACAAATGAAAATTTTGTTCACAGAGGAAAGCAGCCAAAGCAATATTATGAACAATTATTCAAGAATATCAATGGGTTAGTCTAAATAATACAATATAGTTTTCTTTTCATCTCATGTTCCTTTACCTAATTGCACTCAAATGTATAAGTCATCCTGAGTATGTTCATTATTTATATTTTTGCAGATATAGCTTTGTTTCATGATATTTATAATAATGGGTAATTTGGCCTGGTATGGTAGAATGTTTGCTGTATATTTAACCAAAAAAACTAATTTCTAAAAGCCCATTTAATATTTTGTTACTTTAAATTAAAATATAGTAAAACTTCATTTAAAGTATAAACTCAAACCTTCCTAACCAGAGTGCTATTCCCTGGTGGTGCTGCTGATATAAATACAGGCCCATATTACCAATCTGGACGATATCTTTATGACTTGGCTATTCAGGTAAACCAAGTGCATTATCAATGTTGATTTAAGTTAATGGGCCCTTTGAATCACCTGGTACAGTCTATACAAACATGAATGGTTGGAGCTTAAAATTTATGGAAAATTGATAAATCCTCCAAAAGTCTAATATTTGAAATGTCACTAATTGCAAATTGCAAGAATTTTCACTGTTTTATAAATGATTAATTTTTATACAACAGGCTAATGATAAGGGAGACTATTTTCCTATTTGGGGGACTTGCCTTGGTTTTGAATTAATGACCAAACTGACTGCTAACAAGAACTACCTACAGAGAACAGAGACAAAAATTCTTACACTGCCATTAAGGTTTCAAAAAGGTAATCAATGTTTACGTAGTTTCTTGAATCAAAAACAAAAAGAATGATGCAAAAATTTATCATGGCTTTAAAAAATTATTAAATTGTTCTTTTTTTCTGATAATGTGAATGTAATATGAGAATTTAACCACAAAATCATTGATGAATATTACTTATTAAGATAAGATAAGGTTATTTTATTGATCCAAACAATTGGAAAAGTTTTTTGATTGCATTGTAAATTTTCAGCACATAAATAAAACAATTTGAACACAAGACATCTACATTAAATTATTTCACTAGGGAAAAAAACAGCCATATCAGGGACTTATGGGTTAATCTAATATAATATCAAATCAGATTATGACAAGATTCACTTTTGATTTAATTTAATAAAGCCTTAAGGCATTAAATATAATGATTAAGTACAGAGAGAAATTCTATTTTTAATATTTTATAGTGTTGCAGGAATGAGGGATAAGTTAAAGTGAATATAATTTTTTTTTTTTTTTTGAGGTTTTCAGAATAGTCGACTTTTCAAAGATGTACCCTCAGATTTGGTAAAAATCTTAACCACAGAATCAGTCACTCAAAATAATCATAGGTGGAGTCTCCTGCTGGAAGTGAGTCAAATAGAAATGAATAGTCTCAGAGATTTTGGGGTTACTTTGTATTTTTTTTGGAAAACAAAAATTGTAAAGGATGCTAGAGTTTTCACATAGCTATTTTACAAATAATCATGACATGAATATTTTTTTTAAACATTCTAATTATTTATGAGATCTGATGGCCTAGAAATATTAGTTTTATTGTCATGAAGTGTATCTAAAAACTCTTTGATGTTTTTAACACAAGTTTCAATATAACTACTTCAACCAAATTTATTTTAAATTTTCCTTTAAATTTCTTTTTTTTATACATTTATCAGCCTGGATGTAATTATAGAAATTATTCTTGCTAAATTATAATTAATCTGTAACTTTTGTAACATTATTCTGCTCATGATATATTTTCTCTCTAGGATTACCAAAAGATTTCAGTTCTAGGAAATTTCTATCATTTACTAACAACCAGTGTTGGCAAAGATAACAAAGAATTTGTTTCAACCTTTGAAGGTAATGTTAAATGATTAAGCTATTTTTAACTTAATTTTGAATTAAATTAATTTGTTATTGAATTAAATTCATAATGTTATAATGTATTCTATGGTGGGCTATTGTACACATACAAATGTTATCTTTCATGCTCTGATCTAATTTCCCTTTCAGCATTCAAGTACCCATTTTATGGTGTTCAATGGCACCCGGAGAAAAATATTTTTATCTGGGGAGATAACCAGGCCATTGACCATAGCTTTGATGCCATCAAAGTCACCCAGTACTTTGCCAATTTCTTTGTTAATGAAGGTAATTCATTCTTACTGTCATTCTAAAACATGATTTTTCCAGTAAATATCCAGAACTAACTTTACCAATGACTTAAAAACAATAGCAATGAATGTAAACTGAGTCAGTCCAGCCATCCTTGTTACCAGATGTCTTTGTTGAATTACTTTCAGCAATAACTTAATCTAAAACAAAGGGAACGTTAACAGTAAATCAAAAAAGTAAATGTTTGGCCGGTACTGTATTTAATTCAAGCAATTATTTAAGTTTAAGATTTGGTTTCATTTAATTAATTTTAAAAAATTGTTATTTGAAACAAGTGGCATTAGAGGACTGACATATTTTTCTATTTTTCCAGCCAGAAAGAGTTCCCATCATTATGACTCCAGTGTTGAAGAAGCTAATGCAGTGATTGAAAATGCTATGAGAGTTTTTGTCCCAGATTTCAACACATCTGAGAAATTTTATTTTAATTATACCAATGATTATTTTGATTATAAGGGTACAGATAAACTCGAGAAACTGATATTTACTTGATGACCTTTTGATTAGATTTATTTTAATGCATACTTTACCATTTTTTTCTACATTGAAAAATTATATATTATCATTCATGCTTAAAGATTTTGTTTTTGTCATAGTTTTACAACTCAAGAATCTCTTGTTAACAATTATTCGATTTACAATAATAATTTCAAAAATGACAAGAATTTTATTAACTGATAATTTACCTCATCTTATGAAATAAGTGCAATTTAAATTTTTTTTATAATTTTGTTTTTAATATTTTAAAGCTGAATGTTGGATATGTCTATTATATTGGTTGTATTAACTCTTTCGGGATTGAGCCTTTTTGGGGTTCAGTGCCAAGAAGACAGAGCACTTTTTACACGCTCGGCACTCATATTGCAAGAACAAATTATACAAAAATAAACTATTTCCTTTACATGTTGTAACACATCTACTCTGACATGGCGTGGGAGCTTATTGCTTATGCTGTGGGTTATGTCAGTAGTATGGTTACTTATGTTATGTTGATATTTCAGGATGCCGACTAAGGCTTCTTCATTCTTCCACTTATAATCCGGGCACGCAAATAAGAATACTGAATCCTGGTTAAACTTACAGTACTTTATTGAACACACTTTATATTGATAA